AGTTGTATTTTTCTAACACTGGGAAAAAAACAGCCTTCATTTGCAAAATATGCTTGAAGATGAAATAGAAAATAATAATTAAAGAGCAAAATCAATGAAATCCTTCTGTGAAATAACAGTTAAAGACAATAGGTACTCAAACATATCAGCTCCAGTTTGTAGAGAAGATCTTTCTTCATGTGGCATATAATATAAGTTGTAAGCACTAGGCATCATTTTTTTACCTCTAGCAAGAAAAGACACGTTTCTTGATTCATCAAAGAGGGATGAAGCCCTCACAGCTCCACCCCTAACCCCCCATATCCCCTCCAGGGTCTGCTGACAAATGAATTTGTCCATTTCTTTTCTCGTTTGAGCATCCCTTCCGCTTTTCTTACAATGTCCATTTTCACTTTTCATCCAGCTTACAGAGAATTTTATTAAATGGAATGAAATATCTTATTGTTCTCTTAGAAAAAAAAAATTTTTTTTTTTGGTTTTTAGAGAAATAAAAAGTTAAATGATTTGATTAAATAATTATAAAATAACGTTTTTTGATAACAAATTCAATAATTTCCTTATGGAGTTGATGTCCAACTTAGGCACACGCGCTATACTATGGTGCAGTTAAGTTTTAATAAAAAAAATAGATAAGACGATTAAAATGATAGATAAAATCAAATGCAGTTTAAAAATAAATAAATTACATTAAATATTTAAAAATAGAAAAGAAAGGTATTACATTAGATTTTTGAATTTCCGCAAAATACAAGATAGAAACGTGATGAATGAAAACTAAAAGAAGTTTAGAATAACAATAATGAAAACAAGATATGTAAAAAATATTATCTCATTCTAACAATATTAATTGATTTGAATGAGGTACAGATAAAAAAGATATGGGAAAAGTTTCAATATTAATTGGTTGGAATGTGGAAAAGATAAACAAAATATGCCAAAAATCCCTAACATCAATTTATTAGAATGTGAAAAAGATAAACAAGATATGAGAAAAGTTCCAATATTAATTGATTGGCTCGTGGTGGCTAAGGGGATAGAGCGCTGCCTTCCAATGAGGTGAACCGGGTTCGAATCCCAGCGAATGATGGTTGATACGAATTCTGCACGCGGCTAACACCGACCACAGTGCTGACGTAAATATCCTCAGTGATAGACGGATCATGGGTTAGAGTCCCCTTGCTCCCAGGCTAACTTTGGGAGGTTTTCCTCTCCATGCGGGTTAGTTCTATCAAAAAGATCATCACGAAGGAAAATTTCTCCCAATTCTTGATCCAGGAGTTCCTTTGTCTTCTGGATTGAGTTAAAAATTACAAAGCTATTCAAAGCTATGAACATTAGTAGTCGCAAACCCGAAATTGGGTCGAATGTTCAACGACGGTTACAAAATAAAATAAAATATGAACTGATTAGAATGCGAAAAACATAAACAAGATGAATGAACAACAGGAAGGAAGCATACAGAAAAAGTCTCCCAAAATTCTTTTTTTTTTTTTTTTAAGATAAATATCGAAATGATTTGGTCATATAATTTATAAAATGATGCTTATTCATAGCAAATTCAATGAATTTTTTATTTAATAGACTATGGATGCGACTTGGGGCATGCGTGTTATATTGTGACACAATTAATGTTTAACAGTGGTACACGAAGACTTATTGAAACGTTAAAAGGAAGAAAAAAATAATGTTGTTTTTAGAAATTTAATGAAAATCCGTCATAAATCTTAGTTCTCAATTTACCAACAGGCAATTTTCCAAGTTTACACGATTTGGCTGTCAGATGATGTTTTAGGTTTGGTGTTTTCTAATAAGAATGTAATAAATTCCAAATATTTCACAATTAACTGACATAAACACAAAACATATAATTTTTTCAAAAAAATGATTCCAGTATAAATGACTAAGTAAAAAGATATCAAATTCAAAAGCCAGATTAATTATCATTGACTGTTTAATAAATCATTATTATAACGGAAGAAACTAGATTACTATAAAGCTGTAGCATAGATAAACTGTTGGCGAAAGCAGTCCGATTCTGACTATACATGAGCATGAAAATTATTTAAAAAAAACATAAACCTAATGCAAGTTTTAATTTATAATTGCAGAAAAGACTTAGTTGAAAATATCATTTTCTAATCTCAAATTGTAGAAAAGGTTTTGTTGAAAATATCGTTTTCTGACGTCTACGTAGAAATTCGTGGAAATGCTCTAATTTATATATCACCTAAAAATACCTAAAATTATTCAGTGAAAGTTTTGCAGCATTTACAAACATTTTAAAAATAATATAGCAAAAGAGTTGTACCACTGAGTTGGTTTTCTCATGTTCAACAAAATATGAAGTCAATTGAATAAAATATTAGAATTTAATAAAAAATGACATGCTATAAATGCTAAACAACATTTAATGTATAGAATAATTAATAAGTAAGGTTTAGAAAAAATATTTTTATAGTAGAAAAAAGATAACAGAGTAAATGAAATAATATATGAGACGATTAAAATGATAGAAAATCAAACCTTAGTTAAGAATTAAATAAATAAATCACATTCGAATTTAATAATAGAAATAAAATTGGCTTAAATTTAATTTTGTGTAGAAGATACTATAATAGATTTATGAACTCCCGTAAAATATAAGAGAGAAACGCAATATTTTACAACTAAAGGAAGTTAAGAATAATGAAAACATAAACAAGATATGTGAAAAGTTCCAATATTAATTGATTAGAATGCAAAATAATTACAATAAACGAGACTGAAAGTGAAAAGTTCTAAAATCAACAGGAATGAAGCATACAGAAAAAGACTCCAAAATCATAAATTGGTGTCAAAATGTATAATAGCAATCAGATAGCTTATTTCTTGAAAGTATAAAACCTTTTTGTCTGACTCAAAGATTTCTCTGTCCTTTACGAGAATATATTTAAAATTAATCGATCGCTAAACCGAGATATATTCAAATGTGCTACACAAAATAATAATGCATGCATATTCAAATACGTGAATTTTCAAATTTGATTCACTACTGATCATTGCTTGAAAAAGTACTATTTTCCTGAACATTTAATAATCGTTCAATTTGATTTGAGCATATCTGTGATTTTAAAATTTTGAGAATAAAAATCAAAGCGTTGTGTAGGTGGTATTTTTAATCCCAAAATTTTAAAACAGGGTCAATTATTCCTCAATACTAACAATAGTAAGTCTTTTAAAATAAATACGCAAAAAGATTTTGTTTAAAAGAATAATGATAATATTGAAAAATTTTAGGATATTCAATGTTAAAAGAAATAATAATTGTTATCTCCAAAAAACAGGATCGGGAATATTTCATGCTACGTAAGCTAAAGTAGAAAAAAAAACGGGAATAAAGCACAAATGAAAAAGAAACAGAAAAGGACATACTATAGTTTCTGTTCTATAAAAAAGAATTTGGTGTTTGAACAGTTTTCTTTTTTTTCTTTTTTTTTTCTTTTGCTTTAATAGTAATTTGTTTAATAAGTAAATCACTTCGTTAATTTAGTTGCAGTTTAGCTAAGATCAAAAAATGTTTAACTTAACATAACTAATAATAAATAAAGTTGAAAATAATAAAGTTGAAAATTAAAATGGATAAAAATTAAATATATAAATAATATATCTGATTTAAAGCCATAATTTTAAAGCACGGTCATTTATTCTATTCAATAAAGTAACAAATGAAGTTAAAGACAATAAATACTGATAAAGATTAATGTTGAATAAAGTGACAATTATTTATTGATCAAAAATTGAATAATTCATTTAATTTTTTTCGAACCAAACAAGTGAATCACTTTGCCTATTTGATTTAATTAAATAATATCATAAAATGCTAAATTGTGCATAATATTGCAAGATCCATATCTTAAGTTTAGAATTCATATGCGTTGATTTATTAGTTGTTAAATGGAGTAATTTTAAACCTAAACTTATAACTCCGCGTTGATAAAAAACAAACACATGTGTTTCACACACTGTTTTATTTTAAAATGCATATTATGTGGAAGCACATTTTAATTTCAAAAATTTTAGAATAAAAATTAAATAATTTGGTAGAGTTTTCAGAATACATGAAGATTTAAGGTTTTCAAAATAAACCTCAATTATATCTAGATATGAATCTTAAGACTATTGGAAAACCTTATAATCGTTCTTTTCTTACAATTTACTGAAAACTACATAATCATTATTGTTATAATGGAAACTTTTACTTATATAAATATTATTTCTTAAAATTAAAAAAAAAAAGAAATTTAATAAAATTTTAAGAAATATTCAAATACATAATTAAATATAAACACATATTTTTATTCAAACTCACGAAATATTTGTTGATAATTTAGCCAATTTTTCGTTACATAAAGTTATAATTAATGAATAGTAAGGAATGCAACTAATTAAATATTACAAACTAGAAAATGTAGGTATAATTTAGTTCGTTATAAACATTGCTATCGATGTAAAAAAAAAAATCGAAATTATGAATAGAAATATTTCGAATCGTGTAATTTCTATATAGAATATATTAACTTCATTTTAAACATTATTTTATCAGAAATAATTTTATTTTATAATAATTTTTTTTAATCAAATTAATTTAAATCAATCAGAGAAGAATAAATTTCGATTTTATGAAGAGTTTTAAGATTCATATAGTTTATTATCTTTAATATTTCCGATTGAAATGTGTGAAACTAAACAGCATCTTTATACATAAATTAAAGTTTTTATTTATTAAGAATATATTGATCTAATTATATTTTAGCAATTTCGGGTAGAAAAGATAGAAAAATATAATTGAGAGGGGGAAATGATTTAAAGTGATAAAAAAAATGGAAATAATAATAATTAAATAATATAACAGTGCATTACACCTAAAATTAATACGAGTAAGTTATGAAAATCATTTAATTTGAATGTTAAATTTAACACACAAAAAAAGACATTAATTTAATTTTAAGAAACATTCTCACCAGAAAGGACTTCGAAATTTCTGCGGCTTAATTTCTTCGGTAAAAAAAACTGGTTTTTCTTAAGAGAATTTTAATATTTTTCGTCATAAATCAAAACATGAAATATTTAAATGAAGCACATGGAGAACAAGACCGTTACGGGAACCGGCCGTCAACTCGAACAACGCGCTGAAGTTGGCGCTCTATCGTAAACAAACGAGAGCAAAGCGCTTCTTGTATTGGGTAGCGCGCGCAGCCATTTTTCGCCCCACCCCTGTAAACGCCAACTTCCCAACAACCGCACGACTTGGTAACAAAAAAAGCAACCAAAAACTCATTTGAGCCCCTCCTCCTTCAAAGTCTCTTCCACCGATTTACTTCAGCTCTAACCAATAGATGGCAGCACGATGATCATTTTGTTGTGGTTTTTTGTTTCCTCCTAAAGTGAGGAAGGGGGAAAAAATCATTTATTGCCTATTACCGCCACTTCAGACGATCCTCGTAAAAAGAACGAAACGTAAGGGTTCCTCCACCCTCACAACTCGAGTGTGTTATGCAACCGCTGTATAAGAAAAAAAAAACCCTTTTAAAGGATTTTTTCCCCCTACTGTTTTCAAAGAGATCGATACTATCCTGTTTACACCACGATTTTTTGAGCTGACTCAGGGCAAGGTATTTCGGATTAAGACTAGTTGGGAGAAAAATAAAGAAAATAGGGGAAAGAAAGCCTTTGACGGGGTTTTTCACTTTATAAAGATATTTTCACGCCCTTTTCTTTGCATCATCTTCAATTTTTTTTTTTTTTTTTCATCATTGCATAAGTTATTTATAGCGTATCATTTTGTAAGAGGTTTTTTCAAGTTGTCAGAATCGAGGACAAAATAGGATCTTTGTCAGATTTTATTCAGTTTATTTATTCTTACGTCGGGAGTAATAATGCTTGCAAAAATAAAATGCATAAAAGAGGGGGTTTTTTTCGGTATTTTGATTGAATCTGTTATTGTTACAATTTATTTGGACGTGTGCGCTTCCACTTGGATTTAATTTTTTAGGCATTAAAAATTACAATATGCATGTTTAAAATTTTTTTAAAAAAAGATGGTAAATTTGCACTTCTCCACATATAAATATTTTAAAATATATTTTTAATTTTTCTTTATCATTTATTTAAATGTTGGAAATAATTTAAGATAGACAAATACCCCTTTGCTTACGATGTGTCATGTTATACCACCACATGTGGTCAACATGATATACCAGCAGTAAGCAAAAGGTTAAACACGTTTCATCTTTAATAAGCTAGATAGATGCTGAGTTGTCAGACAGCTATTAAGATACTGAGCATCCATTCAACCATGTTTCCGTTCAAGATGAACCAAAATATCATGCTATTATCTTATGTTACTATATAGTGAATTTGCCGCGATGGCACAGCATTTAAGATACTGATCTGTCATTGAATGATATTCCAGTTCACGGTGAACCAAAATATCGTGGTATTATCTTATGATATCATCTTACAGTGAATTTGCCGCGATGGCACAGTACTTAAGACACCAATCTGTCATGAAACTATGTTTCCTTTCAAGACCAACCCAAATATCATCACGGGGATATCGTATGTTACTATGTAGTGAATTTGCCGCGATGGCATAATACTTAAGACACTGATCTGTCATTGAACCATGTTTCAGTTTAAGATGAACCAAAATATCGCAGTATTATCTTATGTTACTTTACAGTGAATGTTACACGATTGCGTAATACTTAAGACACTGATCTGTCAATGAACAATGTTTCTGTTCAAGATGAACCGAAATATCATGGTAATATCATGAAGAACAAGATCGTGAATGAGCTGCGATGGCACAATAGTTGACACACTGAGTTGTCATTGAACTATGTTTCCGTTCAATATGAACTAAAACATCATGATATTATCTTATGATACTAACTAGATTATGAGTACTTCGGGATGGCACACTAATTAAGACACTGAGCTGTAGTGAAGAACTTGACAATAGTGGTGGCTTTAAGTCCACACAGCTTCATTACAATTTGCACCCGCTTGTTAGGAATGATAAATTAAACAGTGGTTTAATTGTTAAAGTCTTAACTGTCACTATCATGCCGTTGATCTTGAAACTGTGAATATCATGACCTACATGACCCCTTTGTCAACAAATAGTTATTGAGGGAACTTTGTTTTATTTATTTTGAAAAATAATTATTTACTTGCACGATAATATGCTTTAATACTCACCAATATTTCGAATCATTAAAATCATCGGAACTCTTTCCTATACAGTTCAAATACTGTTGCATTTATTACCACATTCGAATAATTTAGGAATAAAGCGGTAACAGGGCCGGTTTAAATCATTAGCTTTACTGTTTACTTCTTTATCGATACATTCGATTTTTTTTTTCTAAATATTTTATTTTACTTTGAATGGCAACTCTAAATCTCCAAACTCCAATTTAATTTTTTTTTTCCAAACCTCTCTCATTTCTTTTTACGCCACCTATTGTTGGAAGTCCGAAATAATTAGAAAGCATTAGCAGTTGCCGGGTTGTGTAGTGTCTTTAACGCATTATACGCAGAGGCTGTAGCTTCCTTGATTGGTCCGCAATTGCTGAGGCAAGCGGTTTTAACGGGGACGGGAAGTGAAGTGAAGAGAAAAGAGGAGGGAAAAAAAATCTAAATGAGTGAAAGGCAGGGAAGGAAAAAAAAGAGCTAAAAAAGGTAGTTGTTTAATTTTTTTGTCCCTTTTTTTACGTATTTGGAAATCGATATTTTAGAGTGCTTGGCTGACAGTTCTGTATTTATGTTGTCGTCTGCATTTTTGGAACGCATTCGTTTTTAAGGCTTAACTTTACTTACCCAACTTTTTACAATTGTCTTTAATTTGATTCGATTTTAGAAACGATTAGATTTCTTTTAATATATGAATGATGCAATTGTGATTAGAGTCATTAATAAAATCTTTTACGCAAATCTGAATTCATCCTTCTTGGAAAAAAAATAATAATTTCTAATATTCTTTGGAATACATAGAACAATCATACATTATGTACTGAGCTTAAAATAAAAATAGAACGACACTGAATAACTTTTTAACTAATGGTCTGATTTTCATGTACTAAAACTCAATTTTAATGGTTTGAAGGCCTTACCTTAGATATGCTAACTAATAAGAGTAGATGATATTTTAAGTTTCTCGAATTTACGAAATACCAAAAACGTTCTTTTTTCGACAGATGTGGATTCTTGACCCTCAAAATAAAGGGCGAGCCACAATTTAGAAAATATGGCTCCATTAGATTAGCAGTCTAAAGTTTGATCCTTTTCATGTCAATTTCACTTTTTACACATTCTCCTACATTTCAAAAGCCTTTTAAGTGAAAGGAAAGAATTTTTGCACGGAATTATATAATTCTAATAAGCCAAAAGATAATTTCGTATAAAAAATATTTTTTTAAATAATAATTTATTATTTTTTATTAATTTATCAGCAAAAAAATTTTTAACTATAAGATATACAAATTTTTACATAATTTTTTATGTAATTATGTAAGGAAAAATACAAAATTTAAGCGAAATCGAACGAATAGTTTCCTGGAAAATCTAATTTTAAAAAAGCCATTTATTTATAAAAATTTTTATTTAATAAGGCTTTTGTTAAGCAGATTTTAAAATTATGTGAATTTTTTTTCGTATCATAGTTCTCGAAATATGGCAAAATACTCAAAAAGTAAAATTAACATTTAAGAGTGCCAAACTTTAGACCGCTCTCCTGACCTAACTATTGGGATGTTATATTATCCAGATTGCGGCTGCCCCCTATATTTTGGAGGAAAACATTCCAAATTCGTTGAAAAAAATTTATGTTTATTCAAAGAAAGTTAGTTTTTGTGTCTGATTTCATTAATTAAAATATCGTCTGATTGGGCCGTATAACATAAAGATTCAATCATTAAATCAAAAATCATCCAGAGTGGTCCATTTTTTGCTCTCTGCACTTGTATATTAAAATAATTATAAATGTACTTGTATATTAAAATAATTATAAAAATGACTTAAATTTAAAAATGTTAAATAAGAAAAGAATTTTTTAAAAAAATCATCATCATGACCTAGACCATGTGACATTTACTAATGCTCGAACTATAAAATTTATTCAGCCACCATTATTTCCGATACGTCATTTCCCGTTTCATTGACATTTCCTTTTATCATCTACGTCACCTAAGTACACACTAATTCGAATGTCCGCATCATTTACTCTATCAATCAGATCAAGTAAATAAACATGACCGGAAATAATTATTGAACCATATTGTCAAATAATATCCTATTCAGATAATAAATCTGGTACTTTAAGATTTATGATTTAAATGTTCAGTAAATGAAATTAGAAATGTAATGAATTGAAATAAGTAAGTTTAAATAATTTATACAAGGGCTTTTGTGTTTGGAAACAAAGTTGTTTGCCGTAGTTACGAATTTTATTACAGCACTTAAGCAGATATTGATACACTAGTGTTAAATGAAAAAAATATCTGCCACAATTTTTTTTTTTGACATGTAATTGTGCTTAACAAATCTTACGAAGAGGTATCGATATATTACACTGCTAAGAAAAAAAAATTCTCTGTAAAATACCGGCACTTTGGGTACACCATCCGTAAAATTCCTTTAACAGTAAAGTCCATTTTTACAGTAAAATATTATACCGTACATTTTACTGTATTTAATTAGATAGATCGATTCAGTTATTTTATGATAATTATTACTGTAAAAATTACTGTATATCAGATTTTTTTTTTATCATTAACATATTCCGGCAAAAATGAATTTTACGGTAAAAAGTACAGACACCCTAAGTGCCCGAACTTTTTACCGTAATTTGATCTGGATGTTTTTCTACAGTACAGTGAAAAAAATTTTATATGTAAAGTTTCATTGTAAATTTTACTATAGTAATAAAATCTGTTAAAGAGATTGATACATTATTGTTTGTTGAAAAACTAATTTAACAGCAGTTTTATTTAAAGTTTGATTATAAATATTAAATAATTAGCCGAGAAATATATAAAATACACTAAATTGAAGAAGAAAAAGGGTTTCCGTAAATTTTACAATTGTTTTTAAATTATAAGACGAAATAACAATACACTGGTGTTTTCTGAAAATAAAATTTTTTTCCGCAGTTGCGTTGCAAACATTTAATCATAGTTATGAACAACCAATTGACTATATATTTATTTTAATACTATAAATTACTTAGATACATTAATTATTCATTGATATTGAAAAATAATTTTATATCCTATATCCCTGTAAAATAAATAATCAGTGGTCCCCGGCATTCTTTTTTTTATTGTAGATGTAAAAGGATTGTTTGCTGTATTTGCTTTCTAATTTTTGGTTTCCTGTTTTGGTCTGTGTTTGCGCACTTTTTATCATAACTGCAAAAAGTTTACACATTTTCTGCATTGCAATTTTCAATTTATATTCACTTTATTAAACTTATTAAAAAAATCTCATAGAGCCATGTAAACGAACCAGCAACAAAGTTAACGGACTAGTAATAACTTTTATTTATTAATCCTATGAATAAGTGACTAAACATTATTGCATTTAAGGGGTGATTTCAAAGCACACAAAGTAAGATTTAAGTACTGGATTTGACAGGACTTGAGTTTTTTGGTAATTAAACATTTATTGTTGGCACAGATAAGTTTCGTAACTTACACTATATAAAACATTAACTTAAAAATAATAAATGCTGATTAAGAGAAATATGCAAACCTAACTTCCCTAACAAGCATAAAAAGAAAAGATAATAAATTGGAAGAAATAGTTTCAAATTTCGCAGAAAATTATTGTGTTGTATACATTTAAATAAACACGAAAAACGTCGTTTAAAGGCTTTCCTTAAATATTAGCAATCATATCCAATTTATTTATTCACACGAGGAAATTAATTAGTTAAATATATTTTAACGATAAATAAATATTTTTAGAATTGTTTTGACAACTTAAATTCGAAGAACAATCTGTGTCGTGTCATTATAAATAATTACTACAATTT